AGGAAAGATAGGGCGCAGAAGGGAAAAGAAAAAGAAATTACTGTTGTTGCGTTCGAGACACTGATCGGTTGAACACTCGGGAGGACATTAAAGGCCTTCTGGTCGATGAATTGAGCCTGCGCCGGCATGTTGGCTTGCGTCCGGGGCCGGGAGTAGTCGTGCAGCGGCGAAGCACCGGCATAGGCCCCGACTCCGACGGCGGCGGCGGCGAGCGACACAAGCGCCGCTGAGAGGTACATGATCCTGTCTTTAGTAGCGCCTTTACTACTGACGACGGGCTTCTTGCGTGCTTCTTCTTCCTCCTGGTCTGTATGATTCGCATACCGTGGTGTGCGCGGTACCGCCATCGAGTCCCCCCGCCCCGACATCTCTCTACCCTATTTATACGTCTTTAGCTTTCTCCAAGATCGGTAGGTACCTGTACTGCGGTACGCAAGTGACGTGGGGCCAGGGACCCTGCTGATGATATCATGGGCTCGCGCCGGAAGAGATGAAAAGACGATGGCACGGTAGCAGCAGGCAATCTCACGAGTCAGTCGCCAGATCTGAGAAGCGAGCCTCCAAGTTCTCCAACAACGATCGTGTGGGGTTGACGGTTGACGGACTGAGGGGTTCACGGTTCGGCCCAAAAGCCAAGCCGAACCGTCGCGAAGCCGGCAGTTTTGGCCCGTGGGGCGTCCGGCTCCGCGGGGGGATGACCCATATTATTACCTGGGGTATCGCCGCGATGGAGGACTAAATCGGGTTGTAATGCCCCTCGACTGGGACCGTGGTCGAGGCTCACTTCTTTTGTTGTCGGCTATTACAAACAATATGGCATTGTTACAGGAAAAAAACGGGAAAATGCTATGTCGAGCCAGAGCCCTTGTACGGCAGCTGCGTTATTCCCGTACCCGAAGAAAGTCCTGCCTGTGGTTTTGCAGAATGTGAAGAGAACCTCAGCAAGTCGGGCGACACCACCTCAAATAGGTACAGGTACCTGTAAAGTAGGTATGTGACTCGCACCCCACACAGCCCTTCCACTACCAGGTCTGGTCAGCATGAGGAATAGGTACAGTTGAAATGGCATCGGTCGTGGAATTTCTCTTCCTACCTAAGTGCTTCATGTCTCCAATCATAACCGGGCCATTGACCACCGAGAGACTGCGCCCGGGTATCTCATTCCGATTTAGATCGCCGGGGTTGATTCGAGGCCAACACGGGCCGTGCTAGACGCTTATGAAAACAAGTTAGACCATGGGAAGATGCAAGACACCACACCAGGCTGAGCTTTTGGGAGAAGTCCAAGAAGATTGATTGACAGGAGACCGAACTACACCCCAACGTCCTCCCTCCGCTCATGTAACAAGAAACACAAACGCCGAGAATGAATGTTCCCCTTAGAGACCAACCCTGTGACCAAGAGAAGAAACGAACGAAGCCAACCGGAGACGTGATCATATGTTCAGCCATGCCATATCCCATACGACCTCCAGCCTTCGCGCGACAATCACGCCGACGCCGTGCTCTTCGCTCCCCCGTGCTCCAACTTCTGCAGAGTGCATCTTCCTGTTAGTTATGGGCGAGTTTCGTATTCCGTCGAAGCCGTCATGCCGCGAGTCCCACTGTTGGTACTGGACCCGCTACTGCCATTGCCTCCGCCGTTACCCGATCCGCTGCCGCCGTTTCCTCCGCCGTTGCCGGATCCGCTACCGCTCTGCCGGGCGGGCCTCGAGATGCAAGACCCCTTGTCAACCGGTGCGTCGGGCATAATTGAGTCGCTCGTTGAAGGTCTGCTGATGCGTATAGGTGAGTAGGTCCGTGGCCGTTTGGTAAGGGATCAAGAGATATGGTAGATGAAGGTGTTGGTTTAAGTTAGGTGTAGGCAAATGTCAACGACTTCTGGCTGAGCAAACGTAGGTATTTCAGTTTACCGGTAGCTGGTCTGGGGTGGGCTTTGGTGGTCTGGCGTGAGAAGAAATGCTGGGTGCGCGAGAAGAACAGGCACCTTACCACCGTTTTATACACGTATCCTCTGGAAAGCCCGGTGAATACTTCCAGTCACTAAAGAAGGGCATCGAAAATGTGTGTCGAAACGTGAGACTATATGTGAAAAAGACTGAGCCCATCGGGAACCAGTTGACAGTCACTGAAACTGCATTGAGATGGCTCGATAGGATACAGAAGACAGATGAAGGAGAGGAGGCAAGGTGGCTTGCATTACAATTTGACCAGCTCAGACGGAATCTATCTTCTATGCGGCACGGGCCTATCGTATGACTTACAGAGACCACACTCTGACATCGGTGTAACGGCATTCTATACATTGCTTCTTCTTGTCCCTTTTGCATTGACCGTGTCGATGCCGGCTAGCAGCTAAAGCCCAAGGCTTTCCGAGATCTGATATGCTTGCAATTCAAGTCTTGACCAGGTGAACAGCACCGACAGTAGGGATGGATCAAAGTGTTTTCTACCAGTGTCTGAGCTGACACTGTGGGTGTATGTTCCACTCGATGTAATCCCCAGATTCATTGTCTAGTGACAAGAGAGATAAGTACCCTGGCACATGACTCTCTGAAGATAAAAAGGGGCATTGTAGCATCCAGGGACTCCTCATGTGCAATATGAAGGGCAGATATTTCTACCCGATTTGGGCCAAACCCATAGATGAGGATCCCAAGATGTGGGCACAGCGGATGTTCACTCCAACCGTTTCGCCTCGTGAGGTTTCACGGTTATATGCTCAGGGGTGACCGGGCTTCTAGGATGAAATGGATTAACCGCCTTGGTTGCCCAGGCTTCACTACGTCCGGGTATGCTTTGGAATAGGAGAAGCACATAATATATCACTGTTGCAAGACTTGAGACCTAGTAAGTAGGTAACATTCATATCGCCACGCAGAACTCCTCATTACACTATAATACAAGTACTACTGATACAGATAGCCAGATCTACCGTACACCACCGGGATGCCAGTCCCAGTCCCCGGTCTATTTGTCGTAGACTATTTGTCGTAGACGACCTCGCCGCCCAGCAGCAGCATGGCGAGCGCCAGGCTGGGCTTCTCGGCGTCCATGATGCGCATGCGCATGGCGTTGCCGGCGCTGGCCACGAGGCGGTCCAGCTCCTCGTCTGTGCCGGCGGGGATGCAGCGGCAGCGGCTGGCGGCCGTGCTGTGCGTCACCGCCGCCGGCTTGAGGCCCGCGCCGAGCGTTACCGTGCAGCCCGTGTCCGGGCGGCGCACGACGGGGCCGGTGGTGGTGGTGGTGCGGGAGACGGGGCTGGAGGACCGCGTGGTGGGGGCGGAGGAGGCCGGGGAGCAGACCGGCGAGAAGTCGTTGGAGGAGTTGGTGCTGACGGGAGAAGAAGACATTTTAAAAATGGGGTTTGTAGTTGATGTATATGGGAAGGAGTTGATAAAGTTGTATAGGTGGAAGGATGGGATAAGTAGACAGTTGCTTGGATGCTGGATGATGGCTTGGTGAGAATATCGGAATATCGCTGCCTCGAGCACAGCTTATATGCTCGTGAGGCATCAAAGAGGAGCTCCCTTACTTACACGAGTCTAGGCCCTAGCCTCTGTGGAAGAATGAGACCACTCACACGAGTCTGGGCCTAGCATTGTTGTGGTGACAATAGCCTAGTCGTCCTTTGTGTGAAGCTCATAGAACACGGGTCGAGCGAAGCCCTCTTTTGTCCCAAGTCTCTGAATTTCACAGGGCCTGGCCTCGGCAATGCCGACTTTGTTTGTTTCTACGGGGAGCCTTGTCCCTGCATGCCTTCCTTTGAGCTTCGAGAAGGAGCTTCCAGAGACCCAGTCTAGCCGTGGAATCTCGAGTGACAGGCCCGCGGGCAGGGTGCGGAGTTTCCGTTGCGGCTCCTAATTCACAACAGATTCTCGTCTGCCGTCACAACCGCAGGGTGACAAAGGGGCTGGAGGGTGATGATAGTCGCGGCTTTCGACCTGCGAGGTCGGTCCAAGGGGTGTGGCTTCGACACGATACCGGCAGCTGTAACTACAGGGCAGCGCGACGCGAAAGAGGGCACGCCCAAGCCCTGCTATGCTTACCGGGGCCAGGGGCACCTTGCCAACAGGGTCACTCACCAATCACCCAGCAGCAGAGAGGAGGCTGTCGTTAGGTATCTCCCAACGCTTCTTCCCCTCCGCGAACTCGGCGACGGAGGATCATCCGCATGCAACATGCGCTCCGCATTCGAAATCCACAAACCCCCGGCATGACGCGGACCGGAACGCTGGAGCGGAGACAACGTCCATAAGAGTCAGCCCGATAATGGGGGCGCTGGTGGTAGTGGTGGTGGTAGTGGTGTTGCTGCTGCTGCTGCATTTGTTTCGGACAGCAGCGGCACGCCGACGAGCGAAAGCGGCATGCGGTCGCCGAGAAAAGCAGCTTGCAGCCCATGTGCCGGCTCGGGGCGCCGCGCCCAGTAACGCGAACCGGGACCGCTCAGGCCCACGTGGAAACAGATCCCGACGTCGTCGTCGTTGTCGTCGTTGTCAGGCAATTTCAATAGCCTATTCGCGCCCGTCTCGCTCCATCTCCCACGCCGTAGCGAAGAACAAGGAGGCCACTCGCGTCGTGGATCCTCTGCGTGCATGTTGAAGAGGTTTCGGTACCGGTACTAGACGCTGGCGCAGAGAAGGGTTTCCTGGCAGCCGTGGCTGATGTATGGAGGATAACCTACCTCCTACTACCGGTACGCAGTCGTGGCCTCCGGTACATGCGGCTTCAGGGAAAAGGGCCGGGTAGTGAGCATAGCATTGCCTCGTCCTTCTCCCGAGCTCGTCGGGGTTATTAGAGTCGAGCGTCGTGATGGAGATGTCAGGTATTGCGTTGTGGCGTTCAAAACCGCCAATTTTCAGGGGGAGCCAGCCCGGAGACGGTGTGGCCCGCCCCACATGAGTAAGCCCAGTCTAGCGAGTATGAAAAGAGATAACGCAGCTGCCAAACATCTCAGCATGGTCACCCACGAATCGTCACGATTCGTCCCCATCGAATCATCTCGATTCGTATAGTGGTTAGTATACCCGCTTGTCACGCGGGTGGCCGGGGTTCGATTCCCCGATCGAGAGCATCTTCTTTTTTTGCATTTGCAACAGTTGATCGTTGCTATCGTTTCGTAGGTGACCTACCTTATGTTTCTTCTTGCCTTTTTTTCTAGATACTCTTCTTCCGATGCAGGCGGTACATAACGCCGGCGAAAGCGCTCCCAGTTGGACACCGTCGCCGCCGCCTCAACCAAGTACGTAACAGGCCGCTTATCACGCTTCCCCGAGCTTGATATTCGCGCCTCTACCATAGTTGAGATGTCCAGTAGAGACGAGCAACGCTGCAATCTGTCAATCTGCCAATCCCGAGGAGGTCGTTCTTGTCGCGACATGTCGAAGCAAACATGTCCCAAGTCACTTGCTACCCGTACAAGCCGCCGGTCGATCTGAAGACTGATACTGTTCTCCTGATGTATGCAGCGCACATCGGTTGCATAGGTAGGTAGGTAGGTAGGTCACAGACGACGATCGAGCCCGGAGCCCTACGTCCAGAGATCCGAGTCCGACTAGACGGAACGGCCATTCTGTTGGATTGAAGTATCCGTCCCGTGATGACTGGAAAAGGGGGGTATTATATTATTCAGGCCTACCACCTGCTCGGCATAACTAAGACACCAGAGCCCACTACTACTTACCCCCTCTTCTTAGCCATATCCGCTTCAACGTACTGCCGCGCCCTACGCCAGGCGTCGGACAGGCAGCCCTGCCTGCCTGCCTGCACCTAAGGCAAATACGATCAACTCCCACAACGCTCGCGGTTACTGCCCGTCTCATCAGCGGGCGGTGTCATCTGCCTGACTCACCCTCTCGCCCCGCGCGGGGATTATGCGCTCAGCGCCAGACAGGCGTCCACGGCAAGGCCAACCCTGTGATCGTATCGTATGTCAGCGAGCATTCAAGTACTTATCGACGCGCGTCTCGGCTCGGCGGCTCAACGGCGCAACGCGGTGGCATGGCACAACTGAACTGAACTGACCTGCCGTCCTTCTGGTGGACCACGTCGCTGATGATGTCGCGGTCCAGCTCGGGGAACATGGCGGCCAGCGTCTCCACTACGTTGTGGTGCTCGGCCCGCTGCAGCATCTGCGCCTGCGCCACCTCGGCGCTCGCCTGCCGGGCCGCGGCCTCCTGGGCCGACAGCTGCTGGCGGACCGGGGAGGGCGGCGGCCTCGCATCTGCGCCGCCCGGCATGGGCATGGGCATAACGGGATCGGCGGCCCTTGATGATGATGTCGATGTCGACGCCGGCTGCTGCTGGGCCGGTCGTGCGGATGCGGATGTGCTGGGTCCCGCGACGCTGCCTTCGTCGGAGAACATGCGGCCGATCGAAGTCAGGGGTTTTTGAATGGAGCGTAGGAGGCCGGTGATGGGGGCCCCCTCATCGTTGGAGTCATTGCCATCATTCGAGAGTGACCGTCGCGGTGCCCGCGAGGGGTCCTGATCAAACGACGGCTGGCCTGATGGTCCAGGTGGGCGTAATCCACCCTTTTCCGAATACTGTGCTTGGGGTGACATTGGTGACTCTTGGGAACGGTGCTTCTCGGCAATGGCGGACACCGAGGCTTCCACATTTTTCTCAAAGTCTTCATCAGATATTGTCAAGGAGGTGCGATCCATGTTCTCGACAAACTGCACTGCGCCCATCTGACACAAACAGGGTCGTTAGTCAAGTGTGTAGTTGTGTGTTCAGACACGGGTATTCACCAGAGAAGAGAGATAATAGCCAGCTTCACCCCCAAGCTTCTCTTGGTTGCGAAAGCGTAGAATATACTGCACATTGGACACGAGATGATCCGGATTGGATCGCAGAACAACGTAAATCAGCAAAGGCATAAAACTATCAGCCGAAGAGTCTGACTTGTTGTGCTTCAGCAACCCTGTTCGGACAGTCAGTCGTCGTACAGCAAGCCAACTTTGTACTACATACCAAATATGACCTTGCAGCAGTTGAGAACACATATTATCTTGTCTCTCGGCGCTCGGTATGATCTGATCTTCAGGAGCTCTGTCTTAACAGTCAGTGAGGTCAGGCAATGAGAACATTTTGCGCCCACCTTGCTCTGCTAGCGTCAGAAATTTCTTGCCGCTCTCGTTGATGGGCGAAATGTCCAAGTGTTCTTCGCGAACCCAGCTATAGATGCTGATTTTCTGAGCCAGAATATCGTCTCTTTCCACATCTTCTTGGTGCTGACCGCGCCGACCTGGGCCCATCAAGCGATCTCCACCGCGCCGTTTTGCCTTAGCTCCCGGAATGGGCTGCGGAGGGGGAATCGCAGGGGAGAAAGTCTGTGAGTATAGCCGATTCATGACCAGCTTCTCCATGCCTTCACGAGCGTTGTCGAATTCTGGATCCGAGACTTCAGCCCATACTTCGCTTTGTGCCATCTTATTGGCGATGAAGGCCAGAAAATCACTGATGATCTTCACTTGTTCGTGGACCATCCATTGTCTCTTGGCGAACTCGGCCAGGAAGGACTTGAGGTATCTAGCAACCGGGTCGGCTTTCTTGTGCTTGAGCTGCTCTAGAAAGCGATGAAAGTCGAAGGGCAGCGCCGGCTCGGGCTCGGGCTCGGGCGGAGGTGGCCGATGTACGGGGGCCGCAGTCGAACTGGACGCCTCCGCAGTTGCCGTGATTTCGTTTGACGGTCCATCTTTTGGAGGGACTGGCGGACCCTGATCTTCAGGTTCGTGCAATCTCTCCTTCGACCGTGTACTCGTTGGGGATCCCGCGGATATCTTCAAGCCCTGGAGCTGCTGAGCAATGCTGGGAGCAAGTGGTTCAAGACTTGATTTCCGCGGAGGGTGCGGCTGCATCGGCGGACTGGAAAGGAGTGGTGAGGTTATGCCCAGTCGCGGGCTCATGACTTCTGCTTCGCCTGGGCCACCGCCATCCTCGGGGAACTGCTCCATGATGCTCTGGATCTCGGACCGCGAGGACCCCTCCCGCTCATCTTCGCTCGTATATCGGCCCTCGTCGTATCCCGCATCGGATCTCGTGGGGGATGGCTGCTGTCCATGGCCCTTGGGTCGGTGGGAGGAGTTCGCTCTCGAGGGCGGCTGAGAGCCTTCCGGAGTCGGAGGAGTCGGATCCACGTAGGGAGATGTGTCGATGGTGAGGTATTGCGGTTTCGAGGGTTTTAGAGTAGCGACGGAGGACTCCATGGGCTCGGATGCTGGCGGAGGACTGGGTTGTCGCGCAGTATCTCCAGGTGCCGTGTTTGCGGCATCATCCGTCTCAGCCTTGGACATGGCATGGTGTTCGCTCGCACCCGTTGCCGTGGGGCCAGACAGACCATCATCTGCTGTTATGTCGCCAGCATTTTGCGCTCCTGGTGCTGGGACGTCGGCCGGCAGGTCTTCAGCAATCTGGCTGCTGTCCACGGCTCCCGGGAGCACCCCCGTGGGTTTCGCACCCGACGTGTTCACATGCTCCATCTTTGGGCCACTCATGGCGGGGTCATGATCGGTTGCAGCGGGATGACTCGAGGTCGGCTGCAACGGCGCTTCGGGAGGAGGCATGCATTCAGAGCTTCAGCAGAGTGATCACGAGACGTATAATGGCTTCTGGAAGCACCAAAAACTAAGAGCGGTGGATTGAAATGGCATGAATCTTGGAAATGGACGGTCTGTTGCCCATGCGATTTTAGTCTGGTATTCCTTATCGCCCGGGAGCTACGTAAGTGCCCACCTTATCGCTTTGCATTGGAGTCTGGACCCCCATCCTCGGCCCCATCCCATCCCGCCACAGGTGGCTTACTAAGGTGGCGCAGGGGGTAAGGGTGTGCAACGACACACTTGGTGAAGTCTCTGCTCAATTACTTTGACTGTCTACTGTAAGTGTAACTAATAAGCCCCTTAACTCGCACCTGGGGCGTCATCTCTCAGGACCAGATGCTCCCAGCTCAAGTTTGTGAGCCAGGCTGAGACATATGAAGAAGGCGTCTCTACCACCTCCTCCAGATACTGGCCATGCTCATCCAGCTTGAAGCAATGGGTAAGGATAACTTCAAGCTTGGTAGCCAGAACTGCTCTGTTCTTGATCGTCTCCTGCTCCGAAGGATCTTTGATACTAGCAATAGCGAAGAATTCCGCCCAGAAGGCTCCCTCTAGTTTGGCCCGCTCTTTGAAATCGGTCTGCATTTCCCGTTAGGTTTGTTCAACTGCTGTGAAGAATACTGGTCGTTAACATTGAATCACAACTTACCCAGCCTAGCTCGTCCATGCTACCGTTGCATTTTCGCAGCGCGGATAGCTCGCTGCCAAACGGTGCAATTGTAGCCGTGGACCAGTCAACAAGTCCTGTTATAGCAAATGTCTCGCTGTCGACAAGCGTGTTTATTTCGTTGATGTCTCCGTGATTCAGGACTTGCGGATAGCTCTGCGAATAAAGCAACGTGACCCCATCCCGACTTTGAAGCTGGCGAATATGTGGATGCAAGTACGCAAATTGCGGCAGACCTTCAATGATCGAGAGTTTCTTGAGAATGTGTGACCGCCGTTCTTCAAGCTTGGCTTCGCTGACAGGTTGAGGATTCTTCCAGGCTCGGGCAAAATAGCTTTTGCTATCAGTCGTGGTTCTCCAAAACTGCAGTTAGGTCCTATGATTGGGCAACTCACCGAGCCAAGTGCAACGAGAAGTTAAGCTGTTTCTTGAGTGCCAGGTCGCTAAGTTCGGCATCACGGTTCGAATGCAGAATCAGACTATCGCCGGGAAGCTTGGGCATTGTGCACACCATGAGAGGTTTACCAGTTGGAGTCTCATATCCCACTGTGCCATGGTATGTTGCTTCCGGGGCGAGCTCGCCGTGAATCACATGAGCAATTTTGTCAATCGTACCGCCGAGTTTAGAGTCTGGGGTACGGAACGATACGATTGTCTCCGTTGTAGCGATTACGGTGTAACTGAAACAACCTTGCATCTGTACTGGACGTATACTTGTTGCCTTCGTGATGGCCTTCGCATGTTCCTCAAGCTGGGTCTGAGAAGGTTCGGGACGCTCTCCGAAAAAGTCCTCTATGGCGCT